ATGATAATTGTAATGATTGAGGAAATGATGTTAATCAAGTTGTTGGTTAAATTATCACTTTGAACATGATTATTAGCCATGTAATAATTAACATTATTATGACAATTATCTAATCATATTCACATATCTCATTCTAATTGTATTTGTATTTCATGTAAACTGTTCAAGATTCAAGCTGAGTTTTCATCATGATTATCAGGATAATAATCATTCATAAAAATAACAATAAAAAACAGTATAAAGAATAAAAAAAACTAACACTAATAATAAGAATCAGCTAATGATGATGATGATGATTAACTCAATCAAATGTACATATAATTATCCCCTCAATCCTTTACATGGAAATTGATTGTAATATTATCATGAAATGTTCATAATGATCATCATAATTTACCTTAATCATTGAACATAAACCAATGGGTTTTCTTTTGCTTCGTTGTTTGGTAACATTTTTTATCACCAATTCTCAACAATTATCATCATGTAAATAATTATAATCATTTAGATATGTGTGTATGTAATTAATATAACAATAATTAATGTTAATCACTTTAGATAATTTGAAAAATTTGGAAAACCGATTGATTCAAATTTGAACAATGAATTGTGTATTTGATACAAGGTGAAGATTGAAAAAGTTCTGACCATGTTGAGGAAAAAAGTTCATCAATTATAAACTCATTATAATTAACATTTAGTTTGGTGAAACTTTGAAACTTTGAAACTTTTATTTTGTCATACTTTTTGCTGAGAAAACCCATTAAATCAATGATATCTATCGGAAGATTCAAAGTAAATCCAAAGTTCATTGTGATAATCCATGATAAATATTATATTCTACCATATGAAATAATAGTTGGAGTAAAAAAACTTTACTCTAATAAATCATCTTCTTTTGAGATAATATTTTGCTCAGAAAAATTCTGATAATTGTTGAGGCTCTCATATATTTAATAATATATTCCAGTTTGATGTTAGATGATCATGAGATAAAGATTAAAATTAATAATAATAATAAAGTTTAATGATGATAATACATAAGGATAAAGTTCTGGCTCCTTTTTTTTCATTCCCATGGTTCATCATCCGGATGATAATTTATTATTAATTTCATGTTGAGAAGTAACTGAAAAGTTATCATGTAAAAAAATATTACTCTCCGTTTTTTTCCCTTATTATCATCATGCTGATGGAAGTTTAATTTCAATAAAATATATTTTACGATTTATCGGGTTAATCACAGGGAGAGAAAGAGAAATTAAATGATATTATCTGTTTGATGAACCATTGTTAATATCATGATGGAAATTATTTCTACCATGATGATTACATGATGATGATGATGATGATGATGATGATGGCGGGGATAAAACTCAAGTTCTGTCTTGTAAAGGGCAATATCTTAATGACATTTATGACAAAATTAATTACCAGAAGAAAGAGTTTGGTGAAAATTTTTCTTCTTTTCCTTTATTTTTTTTCTCTCTTCATCTCAATTTGTTTCAAATAATCATTGAATCTTTCATCTTCTGGTTATTATTATTAATATTTGGATAAATATCAGGGCGATCGAAATGCTGATATGTAGAGAATCTTTTAATTGGCTTTGATTAGAACTTTTTATCTTCTTCTTTTCTGGTTGTTGATGATTATGGTGTCAACAGAAGTTCTTGATGATTATATTGGAATATAACAGATTTATTAATGTTTTCGTTTCTTTCTCTCTCTCTCTCTCTCTCTCTCCCATCATCATGTTTATCATCTTCATCATCATTTTCTCGAATTATCGGTTCCTACTGTTCCGGGTCTATAATCAATTGAAATGAAAACGATGGATAATGATAGTGAGAGTGGGAATAAGACAAGGGGACAAGAGATGGAAACAGAAAAGGATAGAAGGAGAGAGAGAGAGAGAGAAAGGAAGTTTATGAGAAGATGAAGATGAAGATGAAGAGGATGAGCTCTTTTTACAGTTGAATGATTTAAGGAATCTTTTGTTTGGAAAAGCTAACTTTGTCTTCCTTTTTTCCATCTCTTCCTCCTCATCATCTTGGTCATCTTTCTTGTCCAGATGAAAAACTGATTGAAACCTTTCACTAAATGGGTTCAAGAGATTTGGTTATAACTTTTGGAGAGAGAGAGAGAGAGAGTGACCTCAATTATTGCATATCACTAGTTTCGACTTGAATTATTCTTGGGATGATGATGATAAACATAATCGATAACTGATCATGATGAGAATGATCTGTAAATCTTTTGCCTTCGTCTTCATCTTGCAAAAACAGGCTTAGCAAATAATCATTACCTGCTTTCACTTTCCGTTACACACCAGTATCATCATGATTATCTTTTCCTCTTTTTTTTGGGGTCAAAATGAGATGACGATGATGATTAGGATAAAGACAAAACAAATGAAGGGTATAACATTGGGAATAACAAATGACCACTATCCTGTGTCCATCCTGAATAATAAGATGAAAAGGAAAGATCCAATCAGATGCTGGTTAGATTTAACATTCCTCCCTCTTCATTTGTATCTTGTAGATTCATTACCAACTATTAATTTCCTCTGTTCCATAAAAGAGAAAAAAATTTTATTCCTCCTAATTCAGATTACGATATTATCACCATAATGATCAACATTGGAATCCAAAGTTCCTGATTCTATGAATGATATAATATTTATATATTAATTTTTCTCCTCTCTCTCTTTCTCTCTCTTGACCTCGTGAATTGGAGCTTATTCTTGATCAGATTATCTAAATGATCAGAATTAAGATTGATTTTTGATAGCTAATTTTCTTGTTTTAGTTATGGAATCAATAAATAATCTTGATAATCATTATCATCTTCATCTTCTTGTTCCGTTCTCTGATCTCATTATATTCTGATTTTCTCCATCTAATTCATACTCACAATACCACACAAATTCAACCTTTCCCATCACCACTATTATCATCATGTAAGAATACAATAACTTTCATCATAATAATAATAACTATTTGCTCTGTTTTCGGTAATTTCAGTTATATGTTATCTCATTCATCGCCAAATTAATATAATCTACCGGAATAACCATTCATGCTCATCATTATTGTTTAAAATTACTACAACTTTTGCAATAAAATCTCATCATCAAATGCAAACAAAAAGTTATCAATTTTTCATTCATTCTGTAACGTGACTCCATCTAGTGTAGCATTATGGAACCTTGTCAGATAATCAATTTCAATTCTAACTCATTTATTTAAGTGTATCCAAAGACTAAGATTACTTTAAGATTATAAGCATTTTCAGAGGGGATTTTTTTCCGAATAGAGACTTTCTGGTTTCAAGATTTTCTTTTAGTCGAAAACTTTCAAAAAAAGGTAAAGCGTCAAGAAGAAGGTCCAACAGGTTCGACTACCTGAATAACCAGGTGTACTTTGGTTCTAATCTTTCAACATTAACCAAGAAAAAAAAGAGAACTTAACTTTTCAACTTATCCAAAATATTTTAACCTCAAAAATTAATATTCTTAGTGTTTCTCTTGCTGCTAAATCCTTAATCACTTTGCCCTAAAATCTTGTCTATTTGCACTTAACTTTAACCACAGTAATAACCTAATCTATTCTCACTCTTTCTTCTAACCTCTGACCTCTTTTTAGGTTAAATCTTAGCACAAAAGGTTGTCTATAAATCTTTTGTTTTCTTCCCGATAATTACTTCCATCGTTAAATTCAGATCAATCAGAACTTTTCTCTTTCTCTTTTTCTTTGCTCTAACTTATTCTCAGTTTCTGTGTCCACTTTTTTTTCCGATTCCATGCTAACCATTGTTTATCACGAATTACTCATGAAATTGGATTGTCATAACTCTTATTGGAACAATTTACTAATGGTAGATATTCAAGAAAAGCATATTCTTTCTGATGTTTCCATTTTCATTTATCATGTTTAACAGGGAAACAATTTACTTGTATTCATATGTGTGAATAGGATGAACAGTCCATGCAAATTAATCATTTCTTGATCCAATACAGTTTAAATTCATGGTGGAAACTTTCACCATTCACATTATCAGGTAACCTTGACTTTGTTCATCAGTTCAGTTTCCATCCATGAACAAGAGGTATTCTTATTCAGTTCAATTTATGGCGATGGTATTATTATTATTATCATCACGATTATCATGTTTAACTGAACATGAAATTTTCATTCAGAGACAGAGACGGAAAAATAACCAGACTTCATTGACATCAGAAAATTCATCATCATGGTGATATAAAAATCATAATGATCATTAGTCTCACCATTATTATTGTACAATTAATTGATCACGTTGGTCAATATTTAATGAATGATAACAATCAATTTCATCACAATAATAATAATCATCATCTTAATCGTGATGATAAGAGATATAAAGATATTTTCTTAATCATCAATGAGATTCAATGAACAAGATAATTACTAAATTGCGATGGTGATAAACAAATCAGAGTAATAACAAGATCAAGTCTCTTATCATTATCGTAAATTCAACTAATGAGAATGATGAATCTTAAATGTCCATGATACGAAAATGACACAACTGATAAGTATGAACTTCGAATCAGGAAAATGCAAAGTTTACAGAATTTCTTTGTACGATACCAATTGAATTCTAATTCCAAGAATTTTATATTCTAAATAACTGTAATTACACTTTCATAGTTATGACAATAATGATCATAAAAGTGATAATAGTCCAACTGTTAATAGGACTTTGCTTCATGGCAATAGATTCAATTTTCATGCTGTTACCAAAATGTTTTTCGTTGACTGAATATTATCAATGAACTTTCAGTTATTGGGAAATAATTGGGCTTTAAATGGCCTTTGGATTGTTTTTATTTCCTTTGAGTAGATTTAACTTTTTAACTCGTTTGTTGACCAATTCAAGTGAAAATTTGGAATGAAATTTTATGGCTTTTGAGCAGTGAATTCATGAGGAAGAGAGAGAGAGAAACTACTTACCATGTTATCCATGAGTCTTTGAAACAGATCATCAGGGATAGTAAAGTTACTGAATAGAAGGTTACATCACGAAACAATGGATACCAGGTAAGTTTAAGGGTTTCCTTGGCAAAGACTGCGCACATTGAGAGGACAAAGAGTATATTGAACACTGCTGAGCCAACAATGGTTCCAACACCAACATCATCATGACTTATGAATACTCCGATAAGGGAGGTGAAAAGTTCTGGAGCAGAACCACCAGCAGCCATGAAAGTTGCCCCGGCGACATCTTCCGATATCTCAAGTTTCTCAGTGATAATATCCAATGAGGGGATGAAAAATTCATCACAAACAACAGCCAAAGCCATGAACATGTAGATAACTCCAATAATATGTAACACTATGAATCCTGATTGTTTCTGTTCAAGGGTAAAAAGGTCATTCGGAAACATTGGATCTTTTCTGATCTTTTTTGATGTCTCAATATCCTCATGATCATGATACTGATCATCATCACTCTTATGATTATCACTTTTTCCCTTTGCATCAATTTCTAAAGGTAAACGTCCCAAATGATTTTCCTCTTGATCAACTGAATCAATTTCAATCTTATTTCGTCTCAATGGAAATGTACAGGTTCCGGTTAACATGAAGCAAGAGACAAGATAGATAATTAAACTAATTAAAACAAACGGGATAACAATTAATAACCGATGGAAACGTTTTAAATGACAACGTTGCCTTTTTCCTCCGGGCAATTGATTAGATGAATCAATATCTGGACAATTAACACTTCCATTGGAACTGAGTAACTTTCGTATGCTGATTGATCGTCTCAACACTTTGTAATTAACAATCGACATTTTTTTTCCTGATGATTCCTTGATTTAATTGATGACAATTTATATTTTCACCATAACTGTTGAACGAGAAAAACAAAAATTAACTCAATCAATGTAACATGATTATAATGATTGAAGCTTAATGTTAACTAGAGATGGTGCCACTCATATAATCAACATGATTAACATTTAATCACAAATGATTAAGGGTAACAATTATCAAAACTGACTGTATGGTAATCAATGAGATAATTGTTTCAAATTGTTTGGGAGAATCAAAAACAAAATCAATCTAATAGTTTAGTTATCTTACCTGGTTGTTAAATTGTCAAGTAATCAGTTGATAAAATAACTGATTTAATGAGAAATCAAACTGATTAGTTGACTAAATTACAGATAATAATTGTTAATCCAATTGAACTGGTTAATCAATATTTTTGTAAAGCTTTAAACTGTTCAGTTGAAATGACATGTTATCATGAATTCACTGGACATTGTTACATGAACAAGATTGTTTTGTCATCTTATTAATAGTAATTGTTGTTATTATTTCATGATTGTTGTTGTTGTTACCTGGATGATTACTCTGATTTTCATGGTTCCATCTCCAGCCAGGTCAATCAATATTTATCATCCCAATGTTTCCTCTCATTAATTCCCACTCTTCCCCATTTTCCTCTGTGAATATTTTAGATAATCTAATTTCCTTACTATGGATTCACTAATAACAACAACTCAATTAAAATGATATTAAAATTGTGGCAAAAAAATTGATTGAAAAGTAAAAATGAAACTTTAATTGTTTCACCAATCGATCAATCAATTTTTTTTTCTGTTGCTTATTCGTTACAAATTTGTTTTAAATTTCACCAACTTAATTCAACTAATCAAGTTAATCAAATATTCTTGTATATTCCCTTAGACTGACCATTGTTTGACCAGTGTAACAACTTGAATGATGAGAGATGAGAAAACTTTGACAAGAAAAGTTGAATTACTCAATCAGTTACATGGGAAACTCATGATGCCATCTACATATGAATTTATCAAGCAAAAACTTTGTTCTAATTGCTCGAAAAAGTTATTAGAACTTTTTGTTTTGTTTCTTTATTTCCTCTTGGATTCACATGGAATCAAATTGATAAGCATCATTAAACTTTCCTAATCAACACAAACTGTTTATGTGAACTTAGCCTTAGGGTAAATATTAGATTGAAATTGTTATCGTTTTCTTTTTCAACGCCGATCATCATCATCATCAGTTGATCATCATTATCATCAGCACTTAAGTAGGTACCAATTGTTAGAAATAATACTTGAAAATAAAAAAGGTTCACACTTTTGATCACCATTGATGATGTATAACAATCACATCGATAATGATGATGATAATAATATCGATATGATATCGGTGTTGAAAAAAAAACGCTCCAAAAGTAAATTGAAAAGTTTAACATTCACTTTACCATAATAATAACAATCATAATGTGAGTTAATATGGACAAAGAAATTTGATACATTGAGACAAAATAATGGTCACAATCAACCTAATCATCACCAATCATCATCCATATATTTGTGATTGATACAAAAGTGTTTGATTAAATTGCAGTTTAAAGCTAAAAACTGACTCCAGGCTATTACAGCTTATGAATAAGCGTTTATTGTTACCATTAGCATTATTATGATCGCTGGTGAATAATTTGTTTCCAAGGATAAATTCATATGTAAGTACCTATGGAAATAAAACTGTACTGTGCATTTGAAGAGACTCCATGCTGACAGCGATTTGTATTTGTACTAAACAGAGAAAAGGAGATGAAGTTTTCGGTTTCCGATTTATTGTTTTCATGATAACAATTGGGCTTCTCTCAGTGGATATTACATTGACGGATAACAATGTGGTTTTACAAACATTGGCACAATATTACAATGTTACAATGGATAAACGATTAAGTGATTCGAAACAAGAAGAGCGTTAAATTGGCCGAAAAAAGTGCTAATAAGAGGATAGAAAGAGAGATAGAGAGATAGAGAGAGAGGGAAAAGTTGGGAAAAAATAAACTTCGAAATCAAATTGATACATTTGATTGTTTGATTTGTAAATTGTTTATTGTTCAATGTGATATAATGATGAACAAATTGTTATGTTACTTGTTCAATTTGTTTGAGATATTATTGAGATTTTAATTTTTGATGGAAATATTATCATTTTTTTTTTCTTCGCTTGATTTGTTGATTGTTGTGTATTTAATTTCCGTTTGTTTTCATGATTATTATTATTCACATCAATTGAGATGATAATTGTGCTTGTGTCTGTTTTGAAGACGATGTTGAAAAGTATTAGAAAGCAAAAAATCAAGTCCATTAGTCGATATAATCAAGTGATGATGTTAGTATTTTGTTGATAATGGTAACAGAGGAAACAGTTAAAGGTAGTAGATGATTTGATTGATAGATGAACTAGTTGATTAATGTCCATTGATAAAGAGAGTTGAGAGGATTTTGTCCCTATGGAGACACCTAATTGAAGGATCAAATAACAAGGGGCTAAAGATGAATGAGAGAGAGAGTAGGAAGGGGAGGTGATGGTGATGTGGAGGGAGAAAGGATCATATAGAGATTACAGGGAGGGGGATAAAGTTGGATGATAAGAGGTTAAGGGAAGCCAATAACACGGTTTTTGTTATACAAATGCAATCGATGGACCAATGTCAATATGTTGATATATACACACAATCGATTTAAATCAGGAGATCAACAAGAAGAGAAAGAGATGATGAGAAAGATCCAAGGGAATCAACATGATGACAAGAGGGCTCATTATTAACTCGCTTCTTCTTCTCATCATCATCATCACCTCCTACTTTATGATCGGACTCTTAATAAGAATGGGGGTGAGAGAGAAAAAGACGGGTTGATATTCATGGGCTAAAATAAAAGTCGAAAGGCAGTTGGTTATTCTCCCTTGATCTCTCTCTCTCTCTCTCTCCCTTTTATCATCATCTCCTTGATAGGATGATGAGAATATGATGTGAAAACATAATGAAGTCGATGATGATTGTGATGATTTAGCACACGCCTCCCAATTCGTACTCTTTGCCTTCTTCTCGTCAAAAAGCCTTGTTGTCAGAACTTTATTATTCTCTATCATCGTTTTTTTGATCTTCTCTCTTTTTTCGCTTCTTTGCCACACATAGAACACAATATATTAATATACTTATTGTGATGACAAAAGTAAGCTCCATTTTATCATCTCTTTCTTTCTCTCTTTCTTTTTCCGCTTTGCTCCTCCTACTGTCAAATACACGGATATTGAGGTGATAAGGAAAAGGAAATTGGGGAATGAGATGGTTTCTTAAACCATAGATATACATAATAATAATGATGATGAAGATAATCTCAATAATAGTAAATATACACAATGTATACAAGAATATACCTCAAGAGTAGTAAGGAGAAAGAGAGAAAAGAAAGAGATGATTATGGTGAAAGTCGGACAAATAGAGTCTCATTCGTTAAGTCACTGTGAAATAGACTGACAAAGATGATAATGATGACCAAGGATGATGAAGAAAGAAAGAGAAAGAAAGAGATTTGTAACAAAGGGAAAGATTAATTTTAAATATGGTAACATAATAAGTTAAGTCTATTGAGAAGTTGAATACAAGTGGTTGCAAATTTTGTAAATATCTTCTCTCTCTCTCTCTCTCTCTCTCTCTCTCCATCCTCATCTTCCACCTTCTCATCCTCTGTCTTTTTTACCTCTCTCTCTCTCCTTCCCTCCCTCCCTCTCTTTCTCTCTCTCTCTCTCTCTCTCTCTCTCTCTCTCTCTCTCTCCTTCTCTCCCTCTCTCTCTTGATGTCCCACCTTCTACGAAAACCCACCCCGCTTGTCCATCTTTTTCTCTTACCAATCGAAAATAATTGTGGAAAATTGTTGACACATGATGGGATTAGAATTGAACAAAAAATATTGTTTATCATTTATACTTTTCTCTTATGCAGATTTTACCTTTTATGCCCAAGAGATAAGGTCAAGAAGATGATTATGTTTGGTGATGATGATGATGAAAGATGAAGATGACGATGACGAGGATAAGATGATGATTTTGGTGGTGGAAAACAAGAACAACAACAGAGCGAGAGAAAGAAAGAAAGAGAGAGAGAGAGAGAGAGAGAGAGAGAGAGAGAGAGAGAGAGAGAGAGAGAGAGAAAACTGTATGAAAAGGATGAGAATGATTAGCTTGAGATAAATCGAGATGCTCATTGATCCGTTTTAATAAATAGTAACAACGGATCTTTTAACAATGTTAATTCCTCAATATTATCTTCGGCATATTATCTGCAATTACTATTTAGAAGCTATTTAAACTACTACTGTATTTGATTACAATAAATTCAAATGATCAACTTTATTTTTTATTATTATTAATCAGTCAACCAATTATTTAATTGGAGGGAGACTTTTAAATAACAGATTACAAGTCACGTTAATGGTTAACAAGAAGTGAAGAAGAGGAAAAAAGTTTATTCACTTTTCACACACAGAAAATCATCTCCCACCCACAAAACCATAACGGTAATCATTCGAGTCCATTATGATTCAATTGAATGATCATTTTTTACATAATATATATACATACACACACATTAATATTTGTATTTACCTGTGTGTGGGAATGTTTTGATTAGCAAATTTACAATCAAATTAAAACAATTACAAAAAGAGAGAGAGAGAGAGAGAGAGATGAGAAGGTCAATGAAGATGAAAATGTTGGCGGGTCAATGAAAACATATGATATATTTTTCTGGATAAAATTGATATTCATCATATTCAGAAATCTAATGATGATGAGGTTGTGATATCACCGGCGATGATGATGATGATGATGATGATGGAGGTGGGAAGCCATGTCTTCCCTGTCAGCTGATATTGTCTAATCAACTACAAATCAATTCATCAACTTTATCAGGAGATTATGGTGACTTGAATATAACTTTTATCTCCCAATCTCAGTGATAGTGTTTGAAAATTCACTTGGACTTTGAAGGAGGAAAATAAAACCTAATTTTCTGTAGGTAAAAATTTTCCAGGAAAATTTTTTTTTTCTTCTTCATATTCTCCAGTAGCTCTGAAAATATGGCGGTGGTCATTTGATTTTTGTCTGTTTGACCTCCGGTCAATAAGCAGAGGAAGAGAGATAGAGAGACAGAATAAGATGGGAAGAATGGTCAAAATTGAAATTGTTCAATATTCATCAATTTTGTAGGTGAAATTCATGAGAAAATGATGATGGATGTTTATTTCGGAATAAACATAAATAGCTAGATGACATGGGAATCCAAGGGTGACACACACATGGAAAGAGTAAAGGTAATGAAGGTAGGGATGAATGATGAGGTGCTGGTAACACCGGCGGGGGTGGTAAACGATTGTAATTGTTTATCAGATTTGAAACGAAAGGTGATTCCTTGGATTGGAAAAAGTTATCCTGCCCTTGTCTCCGTTGGGTTGAATTTCGAGGACCCCGTTCATGTTGAACGGCATCTTTGTTCATTCCCGCTTCCACGCACTTTTTCAACCTACAGGCTCGACACTGATTCCTATGAATCTTATCCACTGGACAGTTATTATTATTAATACCACGAGCTTTACAGGTATACTTTCTATCCTTTCTTATTGATCGCTTAAAGAAACCAGCACAACTGAATCAACACAAAATTCACAATGTTCACATTTCCATTGATAACAATTAACAACAAGGTGACATTTCAAGATGATGATGATGATAATGGTAGAATCCAAAGGTGATGATGGTTATGAAGAGATATGAGAAGAAACAAAAAGAAAATTAGAATTCCAATTTTAGATTAAATTGTCAATTTATATTGTTCGTGTTCGTGGTGATATTACTTACCCGTCACAAGCATAAATGCCATAGTGTTTACCCGATGAATGGTCACCACAAACTTTACATGGTACATCCAATAGAATCCGACTCGATTGATTTGAATTATTCATCACATCAGAATTAACCAGAGTCGAAATTGATAATTGAAATTGACACAGGGATGAAAAGTTATGTTCTGATTTACTATTTTCTTGTTTTCGCTCCCTCTGCTCTCTTACTACCTTTTTCTCTCTCTCTCTTTCTCTTCTTTCACTCACTCGCTCGCTCGTTCGCTCTTTCTCGTCTTCCATCATTTGTCATCATCTTTTCTTTCATTTTTCTCTTTCTTTTTCATCCTATACTCTTTTACTCTATAGTAATATTTTTCGTTTTTTCTTTTGTTTCGATTTTGTTTCTCCAAGTCAACCCAAGGAATTCCTATTCTCCCGCTTATTTTTTTTCTCTCCTTCTTCCTCAGAATTATCACAAAATTCAAAATTCAAAATTCTATTCTATTTTTGTTTCCTTTCTTGACATAATTCTTTCTTGTGGTTACCTGATATTATATTTAGACCTTTCTTTTTACCGGTTAATAGATATTATGGACAATAGGTTACGATAAAGTTCAGATCGTATTACTCATTCACCATTCAATGTTTCAACTTTCTGATGATTTGTATATATATAAAACTTTATCAATCAATGAGAAATTGTTATCCTTATTGATAATCTTTAATCCATCTAAAGATTAATGAAGGAAAGAAAAAAAAAGTAAACAAATTTGAATATTCAACAGGTAGAAATAGAAGAGAAAAAAAAAGTTTTCGATTCACTTTTTTTACTTGACATCGATTGGGAAACGATTACCAGGTAATCACCTTTACAAAGTTCCAATCTCAGTTGATCATCAACCTTTTATGGGTCAACTAACAATCCAAAGTTAAACACAATCGGTTGGTAATTTGTCACTCACAACTTATCATCACTTATATAGTATCAACATAATATTTAACCTGTGACCTGTTAACTTAAAAATCAACAACCTCTTTTCTTACATAGAGACCCACACATAGAGAGAGAGAGAGAGAGAGAGAGAGAAACTCACTCACTCATCCACAAACTTTAAAGTGAATTGAAAATGGACAAACAATAGTACGAGATTGAGAGAGAGAGAAAAGTTCGAACAACGAAGCAAAAGAATAACAATATTTTCGCCAATACAATTTCGAATCATAATAAATATTAACCTTCCACCTTCCACCCCACCTTCTGGTTCCTTGTTTCCTCCTCTATTCTATAGCCTATGATAGTATTAACATTGGTACTAGTTAATAGACACTTGAGCACTTTAAACCAATACACTAGATTCCGTGTCAATGTAATATAATGATTGATACACTGAATGAATTAAGGAAGAGGAAGATAAAAAAAAGAGAGGGAGATAGAGACACTCACACTTTAAGGAGAAGGACTTTTGAAAAAAGTTTATTGAAATATTATCATCAAGTGCTTATCAAGTGGTGACTATTAACAACAATGAGCGCTATTAGTTTAAACGGCGATGACATTAATATGATAATATGTTTGTTAGTGTCACAAACTTATGACAATCAAAACAGCAAAGAGGAAACAGGAGCAAAGATGATTGAATATTGTCAAGGAGAAGCAACAATTTACCTCCTTCAATTGATTACAATTAAAAGTGAGAGATATGATGATGAGATTAAATGTTAATGATAATCAACGATTTACTTTTCTCTCTCTCTCTCTCTTTGAAATGAGAACATGAATTTCTAAACATAATCTATCTCTCTGAATTCATTGAATCTCCTACTTGAGATGATGAATTATTATTTTACCGACAATAAGATTCTGGATGAGGTCGAGGTAAATGTGCTCGAAAAATGAAATTAGGACAAGAAAATTGTCACCATTGTAAGATGATTATGGAAGATGAAATTTATCTTCCATTTTTTTGTTGTTGTTCAAATACATAACATTTCAAGTGCTACTTAATCACAATGAACTTTATCCTATTATCATGATGATTATGGATCTAAAGTAAAGGTCGTCAGTACAATTGAAAAGGTTGAAAAGAGTTCTAACATTTAGATTGATTAATAATAGAATTTAATTATGAAAATGAATTCATCAACTAGAGAGATGAAACTTTCATGATCAGATGATGAAGGGGAGAGAAAAATATTCAATCAAAATAAGTTAATCGGATAATCTGGAAAACTTTGGTTTCCATGGATCATCATTAGTAAATCACTGGTCAGTATTATCATTAGCCGGATAATATTGAGGAATTAACATTGTTAAAAGATCCGTTGTTACTATTTATTAAAACGGATCAATGAGCATCTCGATTTATCTCAAGCTAATCATTCTCATCCTTTTCATACAGTTTTCTCTCTCTCTCTCTCTCTCTCTCTCTCTCTCTTTCTTTCTTTTCTCTCGCTCTGTTGTTGTTCTTGTTTTCCACCACCAAAATCATCATCTTATCCTCGTCATCGTCATCTTCATCTTTCATCATCATCATCACCAAACATAATCATCTTCTTGACCTTATCTCTTGGGCATAAAAGGTAAAATCTGCATAAGAGAAAAGTATAAATGATAAACAATATTTTTTGTTCAATTCTAATCCCATCATGTGTCAACAATTTTCCACAATTATTTTCGATTGGTAAGAGAAAAAGATGGACAAGCGGGGTGGGTTTTCGTAGAAGGTGGGACATCAAGAGAGAGAGAAAGAGAGAGGGAGAGAGAGGGAGAGGTAAAAAAGACAGAGGATGAGAAGGTGGAAGATGAGGATGGAGAGAGAGAGAGAGAGAGAGAGAGAGATATTTACAAAATTTGCAACCACTTGTATTCAACTTCTCAATAGACTTAACTTATTATGTTACCATATTTAAAATTAATCTTTCCCTTTGTTACAAATCTCTTTCTTTCTCTTTCTTTCTCTTTCTTTCTTCATCATCCTTGGTCATCATTATCATCTTTGTCAGTCTATTTCACAGTGACTTAACGAATGAGACTCTATTTGTCCGACTTTCACCATAATCATCTCTTTCTTTTCTCTCTTTCTCCTTACTACTCTTGAGGTATATTCTTGTGTACATTGTTTATATGTTTGTGGTGGATCCTCGATTTTACGATGACAACTTGTGAATTAACCCTTAGGCAACATCTTAATGGACTTTTATTAGTGACCATGAAGTACACTGAATAACGAATATTGAAAGGGACCTCATAGTAATTGCGATACCATTAGGTTAAGTTTTATTTTCTTTATTCTTCCACTAAATCCTTAATTACTCTACTTTAAATCCTAACCATTTGCACTTAACTTTCATTATATTAATACCTTTCTTCTTACTCCCAAGAGATTTTAAAATTCTAAAATCACACAATCATATCACCATAATCAGTGACATTTCCGGATAAATTCTGACACTAAGACAGAGACACATCGAGCCTTCAGTCTACGATTCTATGGAAATTTGAATGTCCATTATCATCATAAACTCTTCACCTACTTTCCAATAAGTAGCTCAACTAATTAAAATTCAATCTAATCTGAAAGTTAAATTGTCCTTTGATCCACCAAAATCCAGGAATAATATTCAACCAATCATCACCAGAGAATGTCCGAAAATATCTGAGATTCACTGAAATAATCATGACTAAAAAATGAACAATATAAACGATAAATCAACTTCCAAAACATCAACTGTAATTATCAATGTTAACCCAAAGTTTTTCATCAAAAATAAACAAATACGATTCTCATGCTAAACTATAAACCTCAAGTTCCAACACCAAAATAATCATTCGGATAAAGAAAACAAAACTCAAAGAATAATAAACAATCAAATTTAATTAATGGGTTAAAACTTTTTCACAACTCGAATCCTTTATTTGCCGTTCGAGGGACAAATGAGCATTTTCACCACAGAATCGGTTTCCAGTATTACTGAATTGAAATATTCAGGTTACATGAGCTTATTTTCTAATATTTTTCACCAAGTTTTCGAATTTTAATCTCGACATTTATATTATTCATCAGATTCCAATCTCCGTTACGATCTTACATATCTTATCCCTCGAGTCTTTGGTAAATCAGAAAATCGGTAAGCGGATCCACGTGCAAATTTCATCCCAGTTTAAATCATCTTCATCATAATTACGATGATTGCAACAATTGAATCGAAGGTAAATTCATTGATTAATTTTCGAAGAGCAAAAAGTTTGTTTGTTGCTCGAAAAAATCCAAAAAAAGAACTTTTTTCCACCAATAGATGGCACCAGTTTCGTTTTCTCCAAATTTCGAGATTGAAAATTTCATTTCGATAAAATAATTTTCGCTTCAACTGATTAAACAAAGTGTATATAAATTGTCATGTGAACAAAAAAAAAGATCCAACTTGGCCCCAGGGTAAATATTAGACTCAAACTGTTATGGTTTCGTTAACACTTCATCATCAGCACTTAAGTAGGTATCAATTGTTAGAAATACTTGAAAATAAAAAGGTTCACACTTTTGATCACCATTTAAGGCGATGATAAATGTATCAACAATAATAAATATCGATAATAAGAATGATAATTTAAATCGATGGTTTGAAAGAAAGAAAAAAAAATCGATAGAAAAATAATTTCTAATTGACAATTGAAAATCTAAATAAAAAGGAAAAGCAATTGGATACATCGAGAGACTAATTAGATAATCAGATGATGTGATTATGATCACATGAGATTAGTAAGCAAATCATTAAGAGCGAAAGTGTTTTAATTACAAGTTATGCCTCCAACTGATTCCAGTTAATGAATAATCGTTTATAGTTAATCATTATGATCGCTGGTTAATTGTCCGCTTGGACATTGTAGTCCTAATTGTCTCCCTCTCTCCCTCTCTATCTCTATGTGTGTGTCTTCATCTTTATCTCTTCATCTCTTAATCTCTTTCACTCTCTCTCCCTCTGTGTCTCTCTCATTCTTTGTCTCTCTCTCTCTCTCTCTCTCTCTCTCTGTCCTTTTATCAAATTACTAATTTAACAGAATAGCAACTTGATTTTAGTGTTAACTATTTAATCATCTAGAAAAGACAAGGTGTCATCATCCTCATCATCTAAAGTCTAATCATCAGGTGAAAACAATAACAACAAAGAAAAAAAAAGAAAATAGAATTTTCATTTTTTTCTTTTCTCCTTTCTCTTAATCCTTTTTCCTTTTTCTTTAATCTCTCTTGTTATTATTATTGTTTATTTCGTTTTCTCATTTGCTTCTTCTCAGTGGTTTTCTATATTTCTTTTGTTTTCTAATTAATTTACATTATCTAATTATACATAATCTAATGTTTGACTATTTTCTTCAACTCATTTTCTATTCTCTTTACAGGTTTTCACTTTCATGGTGAATTAATCGATCACCAATCATCTTCATCTCATCATTTTTCTTCATCTTTTCTTATTTGTTACTCTTTGTTTTCTTTTTGGCTCAATGGAAACGAGATATTATGATCACAAAATGATGATGGATATGAAATGTAAGTTGAAATTTTCTATTCTCCCGCTTTTGAAAAATTCTTTTCTTCCATTTTGTTCAGTAGCTTATTCTTAATTCTCTTGGATTTTTTTTTGTTTCTTCTTCTTCCCTGTCGGTGTTTTTATCCTTTCCCTGTCTTCGTTTTTTTTAGCGTCCCGGCGATCGCTTTCTGACATTTTAGCGTCAGCTGACAACGAACCATTTAGACCTTTCTATTTACCGGTTAATAGGTATTATAATTGTTACTGTGATAGTTGTTCAATGGACAAAGGTTACGATAAGTTCATCAATTCATCTGATCGTGTTCCTGATTCACCGTTTATGTTTCAACTTAGTTCATCAACATTATTATCTCAAGCTTCATCTCCCTCACCAATGGATCAAGTTTTACCTGTGAAGGTTGATAATTTTGACCAACTTGATGACCATTATTTTGAAAATTGTGGCTTGTTTAATGATTTTACTCTTGAATCAGAGTTTATTGTCGATGGTGGTGATGAGAATGAAATCAACGAAAATGTCAAAGAAAATATATCCGTTGAAAGTTTACTTCTAAATGGTTTAACCTGTTCTCAATTGTCAAAGGATGGAGGTGATTCCTTGATTCGTTCACAATCTTTATCTCAATCCCAGAGATCTCAAAATTCACTGCAAAAATCTCAAGAAAATTCAAATGTTCTTCAGGTAAAATCTTTGGACAATTCAATTCTATCCAGTAGCTATGAAAACTATTCACAGCCTTTGGTCATCGCTTCTCAAAGTTCCTATCATGGGCCATCTTCATTTTACAATTCATCATCAAATTATACATCTAATTTGACACAATCGGATTCACAACTTTCCCAACAAAGTCAAGAAGGTAATTGTTGCCGAAAACATAAAAAGTATTTTGAAAAATTGGCCAATAAACCAGAGAAACGGATTGACCCTGATTTCGCTCTTGATGTTGATTCTTTATACACATCAACTCATAATGGTTACCTGAAGCCTCCGTTCTCACATAATATGTTATGTGCCTTAGCGATTTACAGTGAGCCCACCCGACAACAAGAAGTTTCCGGTGTCTACAAGTTCCTCATGTAAGTACCAATCTAATTGTTACCTGAATTTTCCAAGCAAAAAGAACAAAAAATGAAAACCTTTTCCTTAGAAACACAAGCTAATCTTTTTCTATTCTATTCCATTTCATTTTCTTTTCTTTTTTCTCTCTCCTTCTAATTCACAGGGAATGTTTTCCATATTTTCAAGATGCTGGTCAACATTGGAAAAACTCATTGAGACACAGTTTAGCTACTTGTGATTGGTTTGAAAAATCTGATCATCCGAGAACCGCCAAGAAAGGTTACAAATACACCGTTGCCGCGAATCGGATGAATTGCTTGAAATGTGAGATAAAGAAACAATGTATCACCGATATAACCAAACTTCATTATCGACTCTCAGGACTCTGTAAGCATGATAATAGTTTAATTCTTTAAACCAATTTAACCTAATCAAATAATCTTCTCCTCATTTAAACATCAAACAAACAAACAATTTCTTTATTCATTTGTTTGTATAAATAAATTAAATTATTTTTCTTTTTGTATTAACTTTTCTATCTTATAGATGTTTGTGATTACCTGATTAACATGGGACTTTTGGCTTTGAATCAACATAAAATGGCTGAACTTCAACAGGCAATCAGACTTAATGATAACTATCATTTATCATCATCAAATGAAAATTAACTGGTGACAATTATCACACACAAAATTTATCTCTTTTACCATCGAATATATTTTTTATTATAATCGCAACAATCATATCTCACCATCGTCATCATCATACAAAAGTCGGAATAATTTCCTATATAACTCACCTATTTCTCTCTCTCTCTCTCATCAAATATTATCAACACAAATCTATTCTTTTTTTCTAGATTATCCTCTATTCTAGAGAAATCAAATTTACTTTTTTTCTAATCACTCAACCCCAAAGATCCATCACCAATCTCATATATGCATATACGACTGGAAACGCTATACAGTAGCTTGTGTTTTTTAAGCCAACAGTTAATCCCTTTTTGTTAATCTTTTGTTTTCTTCCAAAATAATTATTTCCCTTTGTTGCAATTAATCATTTCCACTGCTGAAGAAAAAAAAACCAATATATTTCATCAACTGATTGCCATTTATTACATTCAAATATCTAAGCTTTTCTGTTGCGTTAAAATCAATATATTTTTTGATTGAAAATGTTTATTAAAAAAAAAAGAAAAACTTTTCTTTTTGTTGTCAAACAAAAATTCAAATGTTTAATTGTTGTTTTTTCTGATCAATTGTGTAGCCACACAATGAGATTAATTTTAAAATAGATTAATTTAATTAGAGTAAATAACCAGAATCATATCTTTTTGTTTAGTTATTTGTTATTAGAATTAACAAAAGAAGCGTTTTTTTTTAATGAGCCTAATAAGGAATCAGACCATTTACAAAGATTAAGAATTTTCTCTTTTCATTTTTAATTTTTGTTTTTATCCGACAATTGTGATGATAGTGATTAATTATTTGATTAGGCGTAGTAATTGAGATTAGTCTTCTTTTTAGCCTGTACCTCCAAAATGGCGTCCATAAAATCTTCGTGTGTTACTATGGATGCATTTCGACGTAAGGCAATCATACCCGCCTCAACACAAACCGCTTTACATTGGGCACCATTAAAATCATCTGTGCATCGGGCTAATTCCTCGAAATTAACTTCATGGTGAACATTCATCCTTCTAGAATGAATTTGCATTATACGTGAACGAGCTTCTTCATTGGGATGAGGGAATTCAATTTTTCTATCCAAACGTCCTGATCTAAGTAAAGCTGGATCAAGAATATCTACTCTGTTGGTAGCGGCGATAACTTTAATATCAGATTGTGAACTAAATCCATCCAGTTGATTTAGTAATTCCAACATGGTTCGTTGAACTTCCCGATCACCAGCTTTCTCACTGTCAAATCGTTTGGTACCAATGGCGTCAAGTTCATCGATGAAAATAATGGCAGGAGCATTTTCTTTAGCCAAAGCGAAAGCATCACGAACAAGTTTCGCTCCATCACCAATAAACATTTGAACTAATTGGGGACCCGCAAGCTTAAGGAAAGTTGATTTTGTTTGAGCAGCACAAGCACGAGCCATTAAGGTTTTACCTGTACCAGGGGGACCGTAAAGTAAAACACCTTTGGGAGGTTGAATTCCAATATTTTCAAATTTCTCTTTATGGGTCATTGGTAAAACTACTGCTTCAATCAATTCTTGAATTTGTTTATCTAATCCTCCGATATCATTATATTGTTCAGTTGGACGTTCATCAACCTCCATAGCCTTGACTCTTGAATCATACCTGAAGATTAGTTTTAGAAAAGAAAATGAAGAACAAAAAAACAGAAAATTAATCAATTGTCTAGTAAATTGTTTGAAATTAGAAAAATGTTAAACTCACTCAGCTGGTAACGTTTCTAAAACCAGATATGAATCTTTGTTGACTCCAACTAAATCACCAGGTTTCAATTTTTCGGGTTCAACCAAACCAATAACTGGTAAAAAGTATGTCTAAACAATGGATAAAAAAGATACAATTAAAGTTAATTTTATTTCTTAATTCAGACAATTGGAAACTTTTAGATTGACATTTACCTGTCTGGTTGATGTTTTTATCACAGCCGATTTGCCTTTTCTCTGAGAATCCAAATCAATGTGACCACCATCTTCTTCCTGTTGTTCCTCTGAGTCTAATAATTCAATGACACTTGATACCAGGTAAGGTAAAGTTTTATTAACCTTAATCTTTTCAGTGTTTTCTTTAATCTTCTCCTTTTGTGATTGAAGCTCATGGCTGATTCTCATAACCTCACTTCTCATAATTTTAATTTCATTATCCAACAATCGGGTTCGACTAATAATGTCATCATTGGACATTTTCATGACATCTTCTCCAACCATCTAAGAATATGAAGAATTAAACAAATAATTGAGATAAAAAGAATTAATAACACAATCAAATTAAAATGAAAACATCATTTAAATAGTAAAAAAAAAGAAATGCTTTGTCATCCCGGTTCAATAGGATGTGACAACATTGTAAACACAACAAACTAAACCAAGAAAAACTAAGATACCAAATAGAAATTAAACCTCTTACCTCAATATCTTCCATCTTAGCATCAGCGTCAGCCATTATTGACACAATTTAAAGTTAATTAACTAATTAGAAGTGATAATAATTAAGGTAGAGAAGGTAAAAAAAATTAAAGAGAAAATTTTTCAATCAAATTGATGAAAATTCTGAGCGAACATCAGCTCCACCTGTTGTTCTTTTCAAAGAGTAGATGAAAATTCTCATCGAGAATCGTAAGGCGGGAAAAAGTAAACAATTCAATCAAGAGAAAATCTTGTCAACACAATTTCGCAATTTTCCAATTACTTAATTGGATTAAATTTAGTTTAGTTCTTTCCCAAACAATTTAATATTCGCAATTCTATAAGAATATATAACCAATGTGAAGCTCTCTAGATCTGTTTTCTTCTACAGGTTCTATTAGAAGGTAAGTTAATCAACTAATTAATTGTCAAGAAATTACAGTTACTCTCACCTTTTGTTTTTCTCTTGTCGCTCAATTTGATTGTTTTTATTTTTCTTTTTTCTTTTGTTTTAGATTTTAGATTTTGATTACCTTTTCTATTTGATAAGTTAATACGTGGAATTTGTTAATCACTGGACATGAGTGATTATCTATTCAAGCCTGAAAGTGACCAAGGATGAATTGTGATCAATTTCACTTTTCCAAGTCTTGATACTTGACTTGTTTTCTATATGATGACTTGGCTTAAAAAGTCAAGTTTTGCTTGTTTGATTTTCGGTAAAAGTTAATTTTTTTTCTTCTATTCTTGATTTGATTAGCTAAACAATTGACATCTATTCTGTCGATTACGAAAATCTTCTTTCTCTAACCTGTTAATTACCTGAATTTTTCTTCACACTCGTTGACTAAATACTTTCTATCCTTTTCTCCAAGGCTGATTTTCCAATTTAGATTTTTTTTTCCTTCTTGGCTTTTGGTCCATTCTAATTGTTGGTGATAAACAACAATAATAAGAGACAATTCAAACGATTAACGAGAGGCCAATTTAAAGGAGCAATTAATGTATTAAGGATTTTGTGGATTATATGAATTGGAAATTTTCCTGATTGTCTCAAGTGTAATACTTTTCTGTTTCTTTGGTGGGTGTATTAAGGATGGACTCTTTGTGAATGACTCTTTTTCCGTTTTTCGATGTGGGTGTTTAGCGAAAATTATTTCACTTACAATTAAACACAACTAAAGATTTGTTGGTTCTAAATTACTGGTTACCAGTTCTTAATTAAGATCGTACAAGATGGAAACTACTCGACGACGATAAATCTAAAATTCTGTTTTAATCATTTGTGGCTGTATAAAGAAATCAAGATAAAACTGATCTGAAGAGAATCACATCCAACCCGATTAAAGAGTAACCTCTTGTTGACATGATAGAAAAAGAGAATCTAAAAGTTTCAATGGATTGGTCAGTCTTCTTATCATATTAATCGTCTAAATCATCATCAATGTCCTTCCAATTGTCCGTACCTTTTACTCAACCGTGGAAATTGTTTGAGAAAAACAATTTGGATGTACATTTTTGGGTGGAATTGGTTGGTAACCAGTCCTATTATTATCATTTCTTTCAATTCCATTATCGTAACCATCGATCATTCAAATAATATATGAACTTAAGTCTCAATTTACAATAGATCCTTCAGCTGATAATGATTGAGATTGAGTTGAGACAGAAAAGAAAGAGAAACAAAAATGAAACCTCTTCTCAGATTTCATGATTACACTTTGGATAAAAATCGTAACAACGGATGGATAACTGGAAAGAACAACAATTTAAAAAAAATAAGGTATATGATTAAGTTCACCTTTAATTTTCTCCCTACATTCATGTAGTTTACATGAGCATGTAAACTAAATCAAAAAGCACAATTTACTAATAATTTTCTCTACTTTCTAATTTGTTTCTCTTCTTATTAGGATAAACAGGAAAATCATCATCATCATCATCATCATCATCTCTCTCTCTCTCTCTCTCTCTCTCTCTAAAGTTTGTTCAATTAAGAAATTTACAATTGGCCTGGAACGATTTAACTAACAACCCGATAAATATTAATCTTTTCTGGATGATCAAAAATCAATTGGAATGGAGAAATTATATAATTTACTTAATAGGAATAATAATCAAGTGTGGAAATATTAATACACAACAACAACATTGATTTAAATTACTTGTTTCCCAAATAATTTAATCAAATTTTCCAAATTCAAGGAAAACAAAAAGAAACAAAAATCAGTACAATTAGTGTTTGCACCAATGTGTCTTTTCAATCACTCTGATAAACATCAATATCAATTCAAGCTTGACAATTAACTTAATCATTGATTACCTGTGTTCATCTCTTATACCACTATTCAAGTGGATGAACTTAGACTAAAATCTTGAGACAATTTTCATTGATAACATTTCATGTTAATTGTTGTACTTTGATTGTGACACACAGAGAGATAAAAAAAAACTGTTGTAATCAAAAAGTTCATTTTGTTTTTCTAATTGTTTTCTTGATTCGAGTTAAATTATAACAGAAACTTCCGCAGATACCATAAAAAGAGGTAAATAATTATCATAGCGTGTACTATTTAATGGTAAACTTGTTTTAGTATTTAAACTAACAACAATTAACTGATTCTCTGCCCGATAGACAATACTTACAATCCAATTTTGTCGATAATGATGATGATTTCTCCGCCTTGGAACCTGAAAATGTTAAAGGTGAAATTTTTCGAGAACAAAAGTTTCAACTGTAAATTGGATCAGAGTGAATAGTTTGTTATACAATTTAAATTTCGCTAATTGTTTAATCAAATCAACTAGAAGATGAATGAATTTTCAACCTACTCATTAAGCAATAGTTCATCAGTACCGGTTGATTAAGTATTTATGATTTTAATTCATCTTTTACAGATTTGATTGTTTATCATTCATAAGATTTGATTTTGATCGGGAAAGTTTACAATGATTAACAGAAACATGGTAACAATTAGAGGGGACCCGCTGATTGTTGTGTTGATTTGAGTTTTCCAGAGTGTCTAATGTCAAGGAGTAAACAAATTAACCAGCTGATTGACATGAAACATGATCAATTGATGAGGTTAAATAGTTAATTTGGCGAGCACCCATTTGAAAATGATGCAAAATCTTTTGATAATTAACAAATTGTAAATGATGATGGTGATAAAATAATTAACTGGCAAGCAAAAGGAGTCTCGGTATATGTCAAATGATGATGGGAAAAGGTGTTAAAGAGACAAAAACAAGAAGTAAATTGTAATTGTTAATTAATGGAGAATATGTTTCAATGATTTAATAGCAACAATCAATTGCGATCAACTGCCAGTTTAGTGTGTTTACAATTAATCATCAAGGAGTTTCACTAATTGAATGATGGAAAATGATCCTTGTAAAACAAATCAGAAATCAGTTGAATTTTCAATAACAATCATTCAATTAAAAGGAATCACCACCAACAATTATATTGTATCCAGATAAAGGATGAACCTCTCTCTCTCTCTCTCTCTCTCTCTCTCTCTCTCTCTCTCTCTCAACAATTAGTTAATCAGATCAAGAGAAACTTAAGAAGCTGCTGATGATAATCTTCTTATTATCATCATCATGTATTCAACGTTAAGGATGATTAATAATCTAATATAAAAGAGGATCAAGGAAAGGGTTAAACAAGAGTAGTAATGAAACTGCCCGGTCTGGGACAAAAAGAGCGCGAAAATCACCAGACTGAAACCAATTAAATATGACACTTGATTAATTGACAGTTAAATTACTTTTAATTAAAATGTAAATATAAATGGTTAAAACAGAATGATTACAGCAATTAATTAGATGAAATGAGGAGTAAAAATTGATTTTTTAGTTGAAAAAAAAATGTCAGTTAAATAATTAATTAATCAATGAAATGTGTCCGGACAGCCCTAATTATTGGACACCTACATAAAGGACATCTAACTAAAGAAATAGCACATTCAAAACATGCAACAGCATGGTCACAGGGGGAGAATACAAGACCAACTTCATTATCAAGACATACTTTACATGTATATCTCGATAAATCCGATGAAGGTCTTGGTGGTGGATATAATGGTCTTGAAGACATATATAAACTTTGCCTGGCTTCGATATATTGATTCCCTCTCATTAGATAAATATAGGCACATAGTGGTGATCCATTAACATGCTCTATCCATGGGTCATCATCAGCATCCCAATTAGAAATACAGTGGCCACAATGAAAACAAATAGTAACATCAGTATACCCTATTGTTTATTTGAAGAAAAAAATATAATTTAGGTTCTTATAGAATATCTTAAAAGTAAAATAGAAAATTACCATTATGAATGAAACCAGCTTCAGCCATTCTCGAAGGTACTATTGGATGACCTAGCGGCCACCTAGTGAATGTTTCGAGACGAGCATCAAAAGATGAATAATTAATAAATAATGGTCTAAACACTCGTCTATGTCGTCTGATGGTTTCTGCTTCTCGAAAGTTTTGTGCTCTTTGCTGACTAATATTTTCATCAGCTGTTGCCTCATTTATTAGAAGAAGGTTATCAACACCTTCAATATGATCGACAACATTTTGCCAATTTCTTTCAAATCTTCTTGAATATTCCCTATGTCGTCGTCTTCTCGGAGGAAGTGGAGGAGGTGAATGAGATGGAGATTGAACAGTTGGTGTTGGTTCATTATCTGGAATGTCCCAAATTTCTACATATTCATTTTCTCCCCTGGCTGTCAAATGACCAGGGTTTACTGCGACAATTGATGGACAAGCAGGATTACCTAGATTATGTGTTCTAATTGGATCGTTTTCATTTCCTAAATTTGTCACCATGTAACCACAAAAAACACATTCAATATAATCACCTTCACCTAAATATAGAAATCCCCTTGAACCCAATAATTCTGGAGTTAGATGTGGATAATTCCAATTTCTATGTCTATAAGTATCTATTCTAAACATTATTGCTCTCATGCTATAATGTCCTGAAGGTGGAAGTGTTGGTGAACTTGCTGTAGAACTAGATGAAGAGTTCTCCAAGACACCATTCACTTGTCCCATTTCCTGCTCACTCATAGTTGAAATTCAGTTTCAATTGAGTTTCAATACAAAAACCACAATTTCAACTGATTTTCAGTTTGAATTCAAATATACAACTGACATTCTATCTTTGAAAATCTTCTCTTTTAAAGAGAAAGTCAGAGGAGGAGTCTGACTATTATGTAACCCTTAGTTGGTGAGTAAAGATGATAAAAATTGTTAACATTGTAACATTGTGGGAAACTGGCTTCAAACTAAATGTCAAGCCTAAAGCAAGAAAATCGGGGAAAAAGTTCAATGCAAATGTAATCAAGTCTAAAGATGGTTGTTTACTAATTTTCGCTTCAGGCAAAATAATTGCAACCGGGTTTAAAAGTATAAAACAGACCTTGTTGTTCTTTAGAAAAAGATTTAAATCTTTCTTGCCTAAATTTGTAAAAGTTGTGAATATAACTGCAAAAACTAAATTACCTTTCAAAGTCAATTTTTCGCTCCTAGCTCAAAATCTACAAAACATTGAATATGAACCAGAAATTTATTCTTGTTTCTACTGGAGAAAAAATGGCTTATGTATAATGACATATGGAACAGGTTCAATGATACTCACTGGTCCTGTTAGCGTATGTGAAATGAAGGAATTGCTTTTAGTTTTCCTCAGGCAATGTAAAGATTTCCAAACTATAACCAATTGAAGAGGAAGAAGAAGAAGAAGGAGGAGAGGAAGAGGAGGAGGAGTTTCATCTGTATATAAACATTTGATCAAATTGTTTGTGAATCAATTGCAAGTCAAATTTAAATACTAATAGTTAAAATTTCAATCAGCTTCTAAAATTCTGAATTATGTCTGTAGTTTGTGTTCAACCTAATAAGCTAAGTTGGTCATCACACTTATTTATTCATATAAATAAATTTCATTTGTGTCTATCATTTGGAAAAGCTGATGATAATGAGGTGGTCTGTGTTAGATTCAATCTAAGAGAATTTAATAACAATATACCCACGAAGAATGGAATTTGTTTAAGTCTATCTGAATTAGATGCTTTCAGCTACTATCTAAACGATATTAAAAATGGATCGCAGACAAGTAAATTCATCTATAATTCGTTGACCGGTGGATTTGATGATTCTTCATGTAAAGTTAATCTACAAAAAGGCAACATGAAAGTTGAATTTGATCAAGAAATGGTTGAACCTCTTATTGACGTTTTTCCGGCTTACAGCGCTTTTATGAAGCTTTCCAAAGACTCTGAAAAAGCCAGAAAAGACTTTGTTGGTTACTTTGTTGATATCTTCATATTTGTACGAATGTCTGGACAAGCTGCCCTCAATTCCGGAGGTTCTCTTACAAAGCCACAAGCTATCAATAAATTCAGGGAGAACTTGAATGAACATTATTCAGTTTTGTGTGAACAAATATTAATTCCTCTTGGATTAGGAGATATTTGTAAGTCCGAAGAAGAATTTTCTGCTCGTGTTAATGTTCCTGCCATTAAACAAGCTAAGCTAAAAATGGAATCGGATGAAAAGAAATACATGTCTTTTGCTGTTTTCATATTGAAACAAGCCTATGAATAAGTTCGATAAAATGACAACCACTGGAACCTGACCTTGACTCATACTTAATCTAAATCATTCAATATTTAAACCTTAGTTTATTGTATCTCTAGTTAATTCTAACCTTATGTATTCGATTTGCGCAAATCTTTCAGTAGAAATTAAAATACTAACAAGCATTAAAAATAAATTTTGTCCTTCATTTTTCTTAAAATTCTAAGATAAGAAACTGTGATCAACATTGGTGAGGAAAAAACTCAAACATGGAACTTTACAATGTTTATCTTCATCACCCTTTTACTATGCTTGTATCTGGACCAACTGGATGTGGTAAAACCTTTTGGCTGCGAGAATTAATCAATAATTCATCGACTCTTTCTTCACCGCCTCCGGAAAATATAACTTATTTTTATGGAGAGTACCAAGCTATTTTTGAGACATTTAAAAATGTTCAATTCGTGAAAGGGCTTTCTGAAAATTTAATTGAAAAATATGATGGTAGTAAACCATGTTGGATAATAATTGATGACTTGATGTTGGAATCTTCTAACTCGAAAATCATTAGTGAACTTTTTACTAAAGGTTCGCATCATCGTAACTTATCTGTGATATTAATTGTTCAAAATTTATTTGTAAAAGGATCTGAAAGTCGAAACATATCTCTAAATTCACAGTATATTGTTCTCTTCAAGAATCCACGTGATCAATCTATTGCGACAAATATTGCAAGACAAATGTTTCCATCTAAGATGAAAAAATTTCAATCAATTTACCAAGATGCAACAAGAGAACCATACACTTATCTTTTCGTAGATTTAAAACCAAATACACCCAATGAGATCAGATTATTGACAAATATTTTAGGGGAAAATTTAATGACTGCATATGTCTTATGATTGTATAAGAAAAAAAGATGATGAAAGTAAAATAAATTAAAATGACAGTCAAATCTTGTGTTCTCTGCTTACCATATCTTGAACAGCTTTGTAAAGCAAAAAATGATTCAGAAAGAAGAAAAATATTGAAAAAATGTCCAAAACAAATTTATTCAATCATCTGTGAGATAATAAAAAATGTGCTTAATGGTAATGTAAGATTATCAAATTACTTTCATAAAAAGTTGCACCCATATAAGAATGTGTTGAGAAGATTAGCAAGAAAGGGGAATTTAAAGCTGAGGAAAAAAATCATCAATCAGAAAGGTGGATTTCTAAATGCTCTTTTAGTTCCTGTGATAAGTATTCTAGCGAAAATTGCAGCTGATAAATTATTAACATGAATAATGTAACAAAAATGGTTTTAATTCCTGAAGAACAATATTACAGACTAAACGATATTAAAAAACATAATATTGATTCTTTGCTATCTTCAAATCTACCTCAACATATAAAAATGCAAGCAATTAATCACCATGTTAATAGAGATACTAAACGAACAAACCTAGGCCCTGTTGTTTTTAGCTCAAATAAAACAGAGATTAAGTCACCACCTGAAAATGAACAAATGAAAAACGAATCATCAGCTTATAGTCAATCTCTTGTTTCTCCGATAAAAGATCAATCTTCATTCTTTTCAAATCCATCAACCACACATGTTCACTCAATTGAACATGATCATGTTCCAGTGGCCAAATTGTTCCTACCAACTGATTATTCGACTCCTAAAGCAGTTGATAATAAAAAAAATCTACAAAAATTGAGTTCAGATGATAATCAACCCATACTGAAGCCCTCAAAGCCCTCTCCAGCTCAGACGAGATTAGATGCATTTGAGATGAGCTTGAGAAATTTACCAGTGGTAAATAGTGATGGAAAAGTATTGGATAAAGATGGAAAACCCATGTTGGGAAGTAACATCAGTCAAATATCACGCTATTTAAGATCTAACATGAATGATAGAAAGAAAACTTTAATCATTGGTTTAGAGAGAGTGTTGAGATCAATAAAAGAAAATAATCCTGCCATATTGAAAAATGTTTACAATTTGAATATAAAAGCGAGATTGAATAAACCAAAAGTTAGTGATTTATCATGGGAGAATCTAATGAAAAGTATTTAAGTGATATTTACAATGACCCTAAATCTCCTGGAAGTTTTGGTGGTGTTAAAAGATTATTATTCACAGCTCAAAACGAAAAGCCTGAAATTACATTGAGTACAGTTGAAGGTTGGCTATCATCTCAAGATTCATATAATCTTTTCAAACAAAATAAAAAAAAATTTTTGAGAGTCCCAATTCTTGTCGATGAAATAGATGAGCAATGGCAAGCTGATTTGCTTGATATGACTTGGTTAAATAAAGAAAATGATAAAATAAAATATTTATTAACATGTGTTGATATTCTATCAAGATTTGCTTGGGTTATTCCTGTCAAAGACAAGACTGGAGTCAGCATGATAAGTGCTTTTCAAGAAATATTTTCAACATCAAATAGGCACCCAAAAAAGATTCAAACAGATCAAGGAAAAGAATTCGTTAATATCAACTTTAAATCATTTCTAGAAAGAAAAAAAATCAACCATTTCACTGCAACTGATGGGGTTATCAAGTGTGCAATCGTGGAAAGATTTAACAGAACACTTAGGACAAGAATCTACCGGTTTTTACATGCTAAACACACAAATAGATACATTGATTCTTTATCTGATATAACTCTCGGATATAATAGATCAATACATAGAACCATTGGTATGGCACCAATAGATGTAAATGAGCAGAATAAAAATCAAGTAATTATAAATATAAGAAAAAGTCACAGGAAATTGAAAACCTTTCCCAAGCCACTCAAATTAGATAGTTGGGTAAGAATAAGTAAAAGCAAAGGAGTATTTGAGAAAGGGTCAACTGCCTCATGGACTGAAGAGATCTTCAAAATTCGTAAAGTGAAAAAAACACCCCAGGGGTACATTTATAAGCTGAAAGACTACAATGATGAACTTTTAACATCAATATTTTATCATTATGAATTGCAACCTATCAAAATTGAGGAAAATCAACTATATAAGATTGAAAAAGTGTTAAAAACCAGATTTAATTCACTGACGGGTAAAAAAGAAATTTTTGTCAAGTGGCAAGGCTGGCCAAATAAATTCAATAGTTGGACTGACGATGTTGAGCTACTCTGATGAATTTTTCATTGACATTGTTTCAAACGCTTCTATGGACATGTTTCCAGAAAATACACTATCCAAGTTTACAAATAAGTTAAAACAACCATTAAGATTTGATGGAGATTGGGTTGTTGGTGTTCAAGAAATTTTTTATCCTTTATCCCACAAACCAATCAAGAGAAAAGTAAAATTTAATATGTTGACTATTGAACGTGAAACCGGAGCACAAAATTTTGGACTTTACACATTATTTGATTATAGTGAAGATGATAAAATACAAAATATAACAAATAGTTTAAGTGCGAAAATTAACGAATACATGAAAATTGTTCATAAAGATGATCATGAATCAATTGAATTTCCCTCAATAACTTTTGATGGGGAGCAAAAGATTGTATTAACAAAAGGGAGAAGTGCAACAAGTGATTTTATACCTATGTTTTATGATCAAAACTTCTTAACCTTGTTAGGTTTTACTGCAAAAGCATACAGAAGACAAATGAATGAGTTTATGAGAGGAACGAGGGACAAGCTCCAAGCTAAACAAGTACCCGAGACAGGAACAAAATCTTTTCTATTATTTGTTTATACCGATATAATTCAAGAACATTTAGTTGGCGATATTTCATCAAGACTATTAAGAGTTGTACCATTGTCAAAAGGAATCTATCAAGACATTGGTCATATGTCGTGTGTCAAGCCTTATTATTATCCATTAAGGTCTAATAGCTTAGATACAATTAGTATCATTTTGAATGATGAAAGTGGATCTGAAATTAAGTTTAAAACTGGTAGAGTACATATTTGCTTACACTTTAAAAAACTTGATACTATATAAGAACCAAAATATCTGCAAATTAGAAAAAAATGAATCGAAAAGTATATTGTGGATGCGATAGTGATTTTGGGCCTCATTATAAAATTCAGGCTGGAAAAGGTTATGATGACATCAATGTTTTCAAAGGTCAACCATATCAAAGGGGTTATGGAATAGGAAGTTTTTTGAAAAGAATTGGAATTCCAATATTTAAATCTCTACTAAGAACTGGTGTTGACATTGGTGGTGATATCTTGGATAACAAAGGAATAAAAGAGACACTAAGGAGCAGAGGTAAAGAGGGTATAAGAAAAACTGCGCGAACTGCATTGGATGAAATCGGTAATATGATTGAACAAACTGGCAGTGGTTTACGAAAAAGAAAAAGAAAATCAAATCATAGTATAAGAAAGACTAAAAAAGCTAAAACTAGCAAAGAAAATCCTCAAAGTCAACCACTAAACGAAAACGAAAAGTTAAAAGATCAAAGAGACAAAGAAAAGATATTTTTAACTAATGGAGTATCTACATGAATCATCTTTTCCTGTTACCAAGTCCGAATTAGAAATTTTCACAGTGCCACCAACCCAAACTGCAATTGAAGCGTCATATGAAGTAGAGTACAGACCTTCAGCTAGCCTTGAAAATGGTAGTACTTATGAGATACATGTACCATCAAGTGATGATTTCACTGATCTTCAAGCAACAATGCTACATATTGTTGCATCAGTTGTTACACCAAATAATGGAAGAATTCTAGAAGATAAAGTTCAAACTGTTGAAAACTTTGGCAACTCATTGTTTGAGCAGATTGATTTATTTCTTGGGACAATTAACACTTCACAAGCTAATAACCTTTATCACTACCAATCATGGTTCGAAGACACATTTTTTCGACCCCCGAATAAAGTGGATGTTGGTAGAATGGAAGGAAAAGAAAAAACTAGAATATTGAATCAAGAATTTGACTTATACTTTCGAATACATTTACCACTTTGTGAACAAGATAAACTTATGTTGAATAACATGCCTATGACATTTCGATTCACAAGATCATCGGAGAGTTTTCCTTTAATGAGACTTGATGATAAAGATGAAACAAGCTATAAAGTTAAGATTAATTCAATGTCATTGCATATCAAAAGAATCAAACTATTTCCTGATACTCAACTCAGCTTATTAAATGCCTTACAAAAATCTCCAGCAAAATATTTCATCACAAGAAACGAGACAAGAATATTTGCTATTGGAAATAACATGACTGCAGCTACTGTTGATAATCTATTTTCTGGTATTTTACCTAGAAGAGTAATTATTGGATTCGTTGATGAACAATCTCACTCTGGAACATTAGAGCATAACCCTTATGAATTCAAGTCATTCAACACTAATTTTATTGCACTTTATGTAGATGGAAACATGATACCAAGTATCCCTTATACTCCGAATTTTCAAAACAAAACCTACATGCGAGAGTTTGTTAATCTTTATCGATTTTTCAACCAAGATGAAGGCCATCCTCAACTAGATTTGTCATATGAAGACTATGGGAAAGAGAAAACCCTATTTGCTTTTGATTTATCACCCGATAATTCAATTGGTGCTGAAAATGGGACATTATCTTTAGTCAAACGTGGTGTTATAAGAATGAGTGTTAAATTCAGCAAGACATTAACAACTCCAGTGAAAGTAGTTGTATTTGGTCAATTTGACAATCTTATCACTGTTGATAGAGATAGAGCTGTTGTTCTGGATTACTAATGGCAACAACAACTGAACTAACAAAATTATGTAAAAGAGCTAAAAATTTTCGTGGAGTTTTTTCGATGAATGAATTACCATCGTATTCAAAGTCTAACCAAACTTACATAATAAACCTTGATGAGAACTACAAGAGTGGAAGTCATTGGGTTGCTCTTTATGTTGATAAAAATAGATCTGTTTATTATTTTGATTCATTTGGACGACCACCTCAATCATATATTCTAACTTTTATTGAAAAAATAAATGGAAATAATTATCACTACAATAAGATCAAATATCAAGGAAATAGTTCTATTGCATGTGGCTATTTTTGTGTAGCATTTGTGTTTATGTCAAAAAATTTAAAAAAGTTTTATTCAATTTTTGAAAAATGTAAACACTTGAAAAATGAAATTAAATTACAGTTAATGATGAAAAGGTTACTGAAAACATTTGTAGTGCCCAAAGGCATATGATGAAATTTTATCATTCAATAAAAATCTTTTATCATCTAAAGGAGACATCACATTTTTTTCAGTAGAATACATATAAATTTGATGATTGTCTGAACCAATTCGTGATTGATTCTCAATATGAATGGTTTCATCATTGAGGCAGCTCAAATAGTGATCAAATTTAATTTTTTTCTCCACGACAGCTTTTTGTGTTCCCTTCGCTCTCTTCTTTTCACCATCAGATGTCCTTAAAGCATAAAGTTTAGCTTTCAATCCAACAAACTCAAAGATTTGTTTACCACCCATTTCATCTTTTAGAAATCCAATTTTTTTACAGTTTTGTTTAGAATGAAGAGGATGATCTTCCGGATAATTGCTGAAATCCATTATATCCGCGAAATATTCCAAGTCTTGTAGCAATGAATTTGTCTTTATATCATAAATCAAACTATCTGTATCTGTATACACAAGTTCGATGTTTTCTCCATAATATGATTTAAATTTTTCATAATGAAGCTCATACATTTTAAGTTTTGCAAGCTCCAAAACCGAAAATCCAACTGCAATTGGCTTCTCCATATAGATTTGTGATGGTTTCTTTTCAAAAATAACATATTTGTCACTGATGATTTTGAATCTTGAACAGGCGGGGTGTCTTAATCGTCTTTCCGCAACAAGTCCGGAAAAAGAAATCTCAACGTTTTTATATTTTCTTTTGTTTTCAATTGTTTTACCATAAATTGAATTTACCATCAGTTTCCAAAAATCTTTTTGAAAATCTGTTGTTGATTCTTGTCTCATTTTTGTACAGAACTCTACATAGGATGATAACCAAGGAGATTGATTGAAAATAAATGCTCTATGAATTTTTTGGATGACCATCCCCTTTGATAAATAGAACTTCAATGTATCAATGTGAATTACATAGTTCTTTTTATCACATAAAGAAGTGATAAGTTTAGTGGACTTAGTATATTTACATCCCTTTACCTTCATTTTCTGGATCAAATCTTTTTGATAGTTACTCAGTTGATCCTCTTGAACTTCACAACTCTCTGGAGCTAGTGGAAAATCATTATGGGTATCATGAAGCTCTACCGGGTACTGGAGATCAACTTCCAAAATCATACCGATATCACTATTAGCAACGTCCAAAACTTGCTGCACATCAACTCCAATCACGTTTATCCATTCAAATGACCCGACAGGTAATGGTTGAGACATTGCATACCCATATAAATTGTTGACATCAAAGTACAAAATATGATTGTCTTGTTTGAATGGGTCATATTCATTCATTTCAGCAAAATTGGCTCGGGAGTACCTTTTACTCACTGTGGTGACACCACCACGTATACCTTTTTCCACCATCAGTAACATATCGATATCTTTAATTCTCTCAAGCTTGATAGAAGTTTTTTTGAGAGCTGCTGCCCATGAAAGTCCTGGAGCTGAAACATAGTGACAAGGATCAATATTGAAGTGATCAACACATGTGTCTCTAAAGTTTTCAAATACTGCAGATAACAACATGACATCAACCTTTAAATAGATATCATGAAGATCCCCCAAGTCTTTACATTCAAAATTTTTCCAAATTTCGCTTATTGTATTATAAATAATAGGTGAAATATTGGTGTCACTGAGAGATGAATAAAAAACATCTATTGGTGGTAAATCAGATTCTTTGAATTTTTCAAATGAGTCCAAATACTCATAAGGTAAGGCACTTTTTTTACAGAGCAAGTTCAAGTTTGAAGCTTTTGGAAAGAGTTTCTTGATGAAAAAAAGTTTATCTTCTTCACTTAAGGATGATGAAAGTTTATCAAGGCTTGCTGGTAAAAAAGCAAAGCTATCGATGAAAATAAATTTACCAAGGTAAATTGCAATATATTTTTCACATGTTTGAGCAATTACTCTTGGTGGTTTAGTAAAAAGTTGAGATGATACAGCTTGAAAAATAATATGTGAGTCAAAGTTTTTCAAGTTGTGGAAAACAATTGGTATTTTAGTTGGAAGGCTGTAGTTTACATTACAGCTGTTATGAGCAGCCCCTCGGTATTTTCCTGTTAAATGGTCATGGTCTTGCACCTTTTCTCTTTCACTGTTGAATGCAATTTTACAGATGTGACAATATGTTGCACTTGTAAAGTTGATTAAATCACATTCTTGCATTTGCAAAACTTTAACTGATTGTTTAAGATGATGTTCAAGATATAATGCAGTGTCTTGTATACTTTCTAGAAATTTTTTTGCTGCTTTTTTTCCTCTGTAAAAGTCATGTTTCACTATATCCTTGTTCCAATCAATCACCACATAACCAAAGCTGCAAACAGGAAGGGATCTTACACGTGCACCATCAGATTTTGACACATTCAGAGTTTCAAAATCAGCATAAATAACATATGGAAATTTATGCTCTTTTCTACTTCCCATGTACTGAAGTTCAACCTCTTCAATTGTCTCCGGCAATCTGATTGTATTTGGCACAAATTTAGCACAATTTTCTAAATGTCTTTCAAGCTTTATACATGATGAGAATGCGAATAAACATCTATGACAATGATGACGGGAGTAAGCTTGATCCTTACTCACTAGTCGGTTGAAATTAGTAATAGGATAATAATGATTTTTAAAATAAAATAGATATACTTTTTTTGAATAATCAGTTTTACTGATTTTCATTGGGTAAACACACTTTTCGTCAGTATCATATGAATATACATATATTGATATAGAGTTCTGTTTTTCAAAATAGTTAATGTCTTTGAGTTCAACAACACCACGAACAGTTGAAAAATCGTAATTTTCAATAAACTGATCATAATGAGATGTTCTTTCACCATGAACTTTTCTGTGGAGAGATGCTAAAACACTGTACATAAAACAGTCACTATCACAATTTATTGAGATCAAACAATGTTTTCTTGTGATATTTTCGGGGAGACGAGCCTTTTTACATCCACCTTTGTGTGGTTTGAATCTGGCAATGTTGACCTCTAGATAAGGAATTGATTTTATCCTCCAACCACTTCCTCGCTCTGTGTATTGTTCAATCAGTTCTTTGATTTCATTAAATGAATCACTTATCATTTCTTCTGTTTCATCTCCGATTAATAAAGCTTTCAGTATTGATGGAAAATGACTTTTAATTGTTTTGTTTCCTTGTAAATCATCAGGTTTATCGAAAACTACACATAAAATGAAATCAAATTTTATTGTTTTGTGAGCCAATTTGGCAGAATCCAAGAGGGAGAGTATATTTGAAGAGTAACATTGTCTAATCTGATCGATATCACATTCATTAAGATCCATGATGCGATAAGATGTAAATTTTTTTTGATAAGCTGATTCAATCAGTTTGAAACACCCAGCTGAATTTAACTGTTTCTGTTGAAGAGGCTCAGTTATTTGTCCACAAAATTTATTATGATGAATCAATGCATTAACTCTTATGAATTCCTTATCACATTTAGTACACTTATACTTTGGATTTTCATGCATTTTGGCCTTCTTTTTAACAGGTTCAACTAAAGAATCACAATGAGCATTTTTTGCTTTTTCATTAACTTGAATTAGTTCTAAACCAGTTGTCTCGAAAATCAGTGGAGAAGCATCATCAGTTACACTTTGCATATCATTGGAGGCACAAAACAGACAGTTTGATGAGCAAGGCTCATCAACACCATGATGAGACTGTGATAAATCTTCCATAACCTGATCTTCTAAGCCCTGGCAGCGATGGTTTATGAACTCTTCTGTATTCTCAGTTGCAAAATCACAGTAGGAGCAAAAAGAGTAACTTGTCAGCATTTCATCCATGGTTTTCATCAAGTTCACAAACTCACAATCATGTGAATCAAATTCTTCTTGATTGTTACAAGGATAATCACAGTTGTTACACTTCTTTTGTATCTGTTGATTTTCAAGGGATAAAGGGTCACTATCATTTGAATTTGGGTCTGTTGGAATAGGGTTGATGTCAGTATTTGAAATAGGTCTAATTGTTAAATTTGGTGTTACTTGTTGAGCATTTACACTTGGATTTAGCTCCATAACTGTGCATGTTTCACTTCCTAAGGCAACCGTGTTGTTTGAACATGCTCCTTCCACTATTTGAGTTTGTATATGATTTAATGGAGCATCATTTTCCATGAATGTTGGATGAACATGGTTTATATAATCACAACGATCTAAGTTTGTGTTCATGGGTTGCTGTTCTGTTGGATGAATCTTTGTTGATTGCAATTGTTCATTCACACTAGAAAGATTTCTCATTTGATATAAAATATCTTCATCGATCAAGACATTGTTCATACAAGCAAAAATGTTAGTATCATTATTATCAAAATTAGAATCAAATGGAACAAGTTCAGATAAATCTGGTGTATAAGTTGATTCTTGTACCTCAAATACACATTGATGCAATGCATATTGTGATAAGTTGGTAATGTATTCATTACAATATTCACAGATAAAAGGCTGATGAAAAAGAATAAAAAGAAACAATTTGTTAAACTTATTAAAATTGATTTTAATTGTTGAGTGAAAACTAAGATCATT